GTGGCCAGATAAGCCACAAAGTAGATGACATTTTCCACACATGTAACCTAGAAAGGATTGGTCTGAAAAATAGGTAAAGAATTCAAAAATCAATATGATAAAAACACAAAGAACCTGACAGAATAATAGGCAAGAGAGAACCGTTAAGTATTTCTTAGGGAGGTACCTTGAGACTTGAATCCCTATAAGCTGGCTTCTCTGTCCTTTTGACCTGCTACATTCAGATTTTTCATGCTCATTTTATACATTTTCTGCCCCAGCTCTAGAATCAGCCATTTCTCCAAGGAACTCTGGTTCCTTTGGGGAAGAATGGTATTTCAAAACCATGATTTGCATGTCGGGTACAATTATTACTGTTGGGATATCACTGTTTTTTCTCTGTGAATAGAACTAGGGGATATTTGCATACACACTTACATCTATGGTTATTTCCCTTTATATCAATAACACTGAAAATCACTGCATTTCCACTGATGCCTATAGTTGCAATCTATCACCACAGAGTTCAGTCTCATTTTATTCCTGGATCTCATTATCCTGAATACTTTCACTTACTTGGTCAGTTCTTTCATATACATCACTCAGCCTTTGCCACCATCATCACCTCTCTCACAACAATGACTTCTTTATCTCAAACATCCCCTGCAGGGCTACTGTTGCTGGACACCATTGTGTGGATTCCCTCTTCATCCTACTCAGGCTCGGACACCCTGAGTCAGGCCACCCTCACGCCTGCATACTCTCCTCAGGCTGCTCAGCTTCCAACATCCATGCTAGGCTTTCTCCTATGCAGATGCTCATCTTACTTCACTCTGGGCCACCATGGCTATCCCTATCATGCTGCAAATGCCTATCCTATCCTATTTCTCTCTGCTAAAAGGCTTTATGACCAAGTTGTTCTGGAAAAGAAGGAAAGAGGAAGGAGAAAGGCAAGAGCTACGTTTAGATCTTTATGGTTTCATTTTTACTGTTGCGTTTTTAATCTATGGGAATATGGTATGATTTAAAGATAATTTTACTTATATAAAATCATCATTTACTAAATAATTAATTATATTTCCATGTAAATATCTTTTTGATTAGTATAATGCACAATGTTAAAAAAAATGGCTGTTTTTATTTTTGAAGAGAGTAGTAGAAAGACAACCAGAGGAATAAGAAAGCAAATTGAGATTATATCTACAACTAAAGCAAGAAAAAGAAAGCTGAACTTTCACGAGAAAAAATTTTTCTTTTAAGGAGATAGTAATATAATGTCCCATTTGGAAAGTTTTTAAATTTCACTATTTAAAATTAAATATAAAAGCTATTCATTAAAATGTGAAACCTCAGGATGAATAAATGTAATCGTGTCTGAGCTCGGCAACTGAATATGTTAGTTCCACATGGAGGATTGTTCTCTTATACACATCTGTTTTCACCTAGGAAAATAAACAAAAAAGCCCTTTCTCACCCTTGGCTCCACTTCTTTGAATTATGTCAAGTAAAATGAAACACTGAAAAGCAAAACAGTCCAAAGAAAGCATGGATTTATATGAGCATATTTACTACTGCAAGTATTATGTAAGAAACTGCCTGCTGTGTGTTCGAGCTTTTTTGGTGCAGACTATGCTTTTCTATGCAACACTAAATTATTTATTAGATAGTTGTTGTCTTGAGCCAGACTATCTCCCCATTTTTCCTACATCATTTTTCAATTGACTGGAAAACCTCGTAGTTGTCCATCTCTGGGGACATGGGGAAATAAACTGTCCTATTACATTTCTTCCTTACTGTATTACTATAGACTCACTGTGAACTTCTGGGACACATCTTATGATTCTCTTGAGTCTGCTTTATTCCCTAAGAGCGCAGTGGCCATAGACCTGATAGGAATCTTCTGGGATGATCTGTCATATCTGATAAAATGTTTTGAAGTATCTCATACCAGATGATAATAGACAAGCAATACATTTTGAAATTTCAGCCCTGGGAATTTGGTAGATTAAATTCTTTTAGCTCAGCTTGTTTTTCATTTTTCCCCTTGAGGATTGTTTTACTACAAAAGCAAATTAAAGAGAATTTGGAGACACAGATATCTCATAGCATAAAAAGTACACTGTCTGGGCTGTGAGTCTGTATATAAAGGAAGAAACAAAACAAAAAAGGTACATTCATTTAAATGTAATCTTGGGCTGGGTGTGGTGTTTATGCCTGTAATCCCAGAACTTGGGGAGGCTGGGGTGGCATAGCAAGACACTGTTTCTAAAAAAAACAAAAAAATTAGCAAGATGATTTCCTAAGTCCAGGAATTCAGGGCTTCAGTGAGCTATGATAATGACACCACACTCCAGCTGGGGGTGACAGAGTGAGGAGACTTTGTCTCAAAAAATATATATATTCTTAGATTAAGTATATTGTCAATATGATAGAAGATAGTTAACTTAGGCTGCATCTTCATGTGCTTCTTGGGTTGCCCATTTTGAATGAATTGTTAAAACTGTTCAGGCAGTAATTAGCTTGTATTATTTTCTAGTACATTTTGGAATTTTGTAAACTCTTTCTGGAACTTTCTGGCTTTGGTAGGAGAATCTCAGGTGATCACTTCTCAGGAACAAATTTCAAGGGGTCATTTTCTTTCTCTTACCAACAAAACTGAAAATAGAAACAAGGACCTAAAAATCTAGTTATGATTGGATAGAAAAAGAATATTAAGCCATGTATATAGATGGGCGTGAGTCTGTGGTTTTGATTTCATAAGTCTCAGCGTAGAAAAGTGGCCTCTTCCATGAGCAGAGTCAGATATTTTATCCTTTGCTTCTAAAGATGACTGGAGAAGATATAAATTGATCTTTTAAAAAATCAGCTTTTTATTTATTTATTTTCTTTCTCTTCTTCTCCTTCTCCTTCTTTCTTTTTCTTTTGAGATCAAGTCTTGCTCTGTCACACAGAATGAGTGCATTGGCATGATCTTGGCTCACTGCAGACTTCACCCCCTGGGTTCAAGCAATTCTCCTGTCCAGCCTCCTGAGTAGCTAGGATTACAGGCATGTGCCACCATGCCCAGCTAGTTTTTGTATTTTTAGTAGAGATGGGTTTTCACTATGTTGGCCAGGCGGGTCTTGAACTCCTAAACTCAGGTGATATGCCTGCCTCTCTCCCAAGATGCTGGGATTGCAGGCATGAGTCACTGTGCCCAGCCTGATTTTTGAATAATTTTAGATTTACAGAAAGATTGTGAGCATAGGACATAGTTTCCATATCCCGTCTCCCCATTTTCCTTAATGATAATATCTCACAATACCATTGGGCATTTGTCAAAACTAAAAGCCAACATTGGTACCTCACTATTAATAAAACTTTAGACTTCATTCATTTTTTTCTAATGTTTCTTTTCCATCCCAGGATCCAACCTGTGATAACACATTGCATCTAGTTGTTATATAACAGCTTGCATGAAATGTTGGGAACTTGGGAAAACAGAAAAAAAAAATACTGAAAAATACATTTATACTTAAATAAATTCTGTGGTTAATTTTATAACTAAGTATTTTCTGTATTGGTGTTGCAATGATTCCTGAAAATGTCTAAGTGACATCATAGTTATATTTCAAAAAATGTGGCATGCATAGTCAAAGACACTGCAGAGTATGAAGACATTTAATACAGGGCCTCTGCCTTCTAGAGAGGTAAATAATATAAGGAAACATTATGTGGCGAAGAAGACAAGTATTAATGAAGAGTTTTGGGAGCTGTAAGGGAAATAAATTTAGTAGTTATGGCAATAGGATTCCTGGGGAGGTAGAAGAGGGCTGTGTCTTTAGAAGCACCAAGGGCTCATGATTCTAGGGAGAGTAACAGTGCCTCTGTGAGTTGAGCAGAAAAATTGGACATTGGAGGGGATTGATTCCTCTCTTGTGAGAGAAACATGCTCACAAATCAGGAAGCAAATAAGGTTGAGTCCATGAGGCATGAAGTCCACAGAGGTGGGAAGTCAAACAGTGGGATAGTGGTAGGAAGCAATATTTTAATGAAATATGTTTGTTCAGTAACTGTTGGTTCCAAACCATTTATATACTTCATTTTAAGGTAATATCATTCAGAGTCAAGCCACAACTTGGAAGATTAAGGTTGGAGGATCGCTTGATCCTGGGAGGTTAAGACTGCAGTGAGAAAGACCAAAGGTACATGCAGAGCAAATATTGTCTTAGGATGTCATAGTAGAGGTGATATTTAGCCCACTAGTTAGGAATCTCAAAAGGATGGGTGCTGATGAAGAGCTCCATTTTGGTTTTCTATTGAACCCTCAGTCTTTTTTGAGCAATTCATTTACATTTTTTATTTCTTTATTTTATTGTGGTATAATATGCATAACAAAATTTGCCATTTTAATCTAAGTACACAATTCATTGGCATTAGTACATTCACATTGTTGCATAATTATCACTGCTATCCATCTCCAGAAATTTTTCTTCATGCCATACTGAAACTCTGTACCCATTAAACAATAACTCCTCATTTCTCCCAACTTTTATCCCTGGTAACTGCTGTTTTACTTTCTCTTTCTATGTATCTGGCTACTCTAGGCACATTGTGTAAATGGAATCATATAATATCTTTCCTTTTGTGTATGATCTATTTCACTTAGCATAATGTCTTTTAAGTCTCATCCATATTGTGATGCTCTACTTACATCCCTTAAAGTAGTCACAAATTATGCTGAGTTTTTTTTTTTTTTCCCCTGAGTCAGTTTCATAGGCTGAGATAAATAGCATGACACATAAAACACACATTGGAGGGGAAGAGTATGCAAAGTCATTAGTAGAAGTAGGATACTGAAGTAACCAACACAAAGGCCCCATGGGGTCCCTTAGCTGCTAGAGGTAGAACTAGAGATTGTGGACCAGGCAATGAAGGAGCAAGCCAGAAGGCAGAGGCCATTGGTGTGAGGCTGGGGTACTGGAGTGGGATGGAGATGTCAACAGGAAGGGCCTGGTAAACCTGTAGGCCCAAGAGTAGTAATGCTTATGGAGGTAATTGAAGATTCAGAAGTGGAGGGAAAGACTCTCCAGTCAGTGACTCAGATACGTAGGAGGGAGAGCCCACTTGGCTCAGGTGCCAAGGAGGGAAAAGATAAGAGTTTGGTGGATCCAAGGAAGTTTTCAAGGAAAAGGTAGTAGATAAATGAGTAGCATTTGGATAGGAAGAGAGGACTAGAATAATGATTTACTCCAGAGGAAGTGGCATTAGGACAGATAGAGAGATGGAAACCATAACATGCTTTTGGACCTAAGCAGACCAGTTTGGTTGGGGCTTTATGAAATGCAGAAGGAGACAGGAGTAGCAGCCAGTTATTGACAAATTATTCAGATTATTTTGAAAGCAATAGACATCACTAGAAAATGTTTCGTTTCCTTTGCTCCAATTGTCAGTAAGCTTGATTAGAATAGTTAGCACTCCTTGACTTAATAGTAGCTTGGGAGATATCTCCACCTCCTAGGAGAATATAAACTAGCTGAAGGTAGCACCATTTTAAAGATAGTGTCCCTTGTAGTGTTAAGCACAAGGTCTTGAAGTTCTTTATTCCTCATTAAATATTCTTTGAATCGAATGGTAGTTAGATTAAGAGATTTTGATGGGAGCTTCTTTGCCTGGGAGCTTTTAAAATTATATATATATTTATATAAATTAAATAAATTTAAACTTATAATATATATAAAAATTTTAAAAAATTTTAGTTACAGAGGTCTCACTATGTTGTCCAGGCTGGTTTTTAACTCCTGGTCTCAAGCAATCCTTCTACCTCAGCCTCCTAAGTAGCTGGGATTACAGGTGCAAACCACTATCCTCAGTGCCTCCCTGGGAGCTTCTTTTCTAAGCCAATGGGATCCAGTTTGGAGATGAGTGGTTCCTCTCACCCTTTCCTACTGGTAAGTGAGCTCTTTGGCTGAGGTTCCTGGTCCAATGTCCAGTCTTCTTCCCTTGCCAGGCAGCTCTACACTTCCCAAATCCTGTATGCTTTCTGTCAGGAGAAGCCATGGCTTGCCATCTGTGGTAACTCCAAATCCTGTCCCCATTTCACATTAGAGATGTTTCCCCTGATGGCAACTTCACTTCCATCATCTCTTTCCACACTATGTCTGCCAGGGGATTAGCTTAATTCCCTCCAATCTACCTCAAGTTTAAAAGCTGTTTAGTTACTGCCCTCTTGGTGAGGGAATCAGGGAGCTCACCCTCCAGAAACCAGTGCTTCCTCTTCCCTGCAGTGGGGCGAGGAAGAGATTCTTTATTCTTCATTGACAAGTCTATAGCAATAATAGCATTATCAACAACAGTAGCAAAATAACCCATAAAAATGACCACTACTACCACTACACACTCCAAGGTATCACGTTTTTCCTCACTAATTCATCTTATTGTAGATCATGTACCCTCACTGAGGGAATGTGAGTGTATCCTCAGCACGAAGGATCTTAAACGTGATTGTAATGTAATAGGCTCAGATAGAGTTCAGGCAAAGACTGATTAACCTTAGGGTTTGATAAACAGAGTGGAATCTGGAGGAAAAGTAGCCAGTGAAGGAGAATTTTTTGGTGAATCCCCAGTGCTCTTCAATCTAAATGATCTGGTCATGATGACAGGTGTTGTCATAATGAAAAAGGATGTGCCAAGTGGTAGTTAGCTTGGTGATCACAGAGATCACCCCGGTCCCCACTGCTGTTACAGTTTATTCTGTACTGGTCAGTTCCAGATTCTGCCTGGTCAAGGTCTCATCATGGTGGCTAGGCAGCCCTGAGAAATCCTACTGAAGTAGCCAGTCAGCCTCTCTAAGTAGCCTTCTTGTCTTCTTTTTACCCAAATTCAGAAAAGTTCATCTGTTTATATTAAGATGACCACAGGAAAAAAGATGCATTTTCTTTTGGTAGAAGCTATGATCTGAATGTTTGTATATTCCCCAAATTCATTTGTTGAAATCCAGACACCAATGTGATAGAGTTGGGAGGCTGGGCCTTTAAGAAGTGGCTAGTTCATAAGGGCAGAGCCTTCAGAAATGGGATTAGTGTCCTTATAAAAAGAGGTCCGGCCGAGCGTGGTGGCTCAAGCCTGTAATCCCAGCACTTTGGGAGGCCAAGGCGGGTGGATCACGAGGTCAAGAGATTGAGACCATCCTGGTCAACATGGTGAAACCCCATCTCTACTAAAAATACAAAAAATTAGCTGGGCATGGTGGCACGTACCTGTAATCCCAGCTACTCAGGAGGCTGAGGCAGGAGAATTGCCTGAACCCAGGAGGCGGAGGTTGCGGTGAGCCGAGATCGAGCCATTGCACTCCAGCCTGGGTAACGAGAGCGAAACTCCGTCTCAAAAAAAAAAAGAAAAAAAAAAAAAAGAGGTCCTAGAGAGCTGCCTTGTTTCTTCCACCATGTGCGGAGGCACCAAGAAGGTATTTCCTATGAATCAAGAAATGGGTCCTCACCACACATCAAATCCGCCAATGCCTTGATGGATTCTTCAGCCTCCAGATCTGTGAGAATTAAATTTCTGTTTTTTTTTTTTTTTTTTTTTAAGCCACCCAGTTTATGGTAATTTGTTAGAGTAGCCTGAACAGGCTAAGATAGTAGACTCTTGTTTTCCCACTGTGTGCTGTGGTACATATTGGTGGCATGGGTAACTGCTTTACCTATGAAATGGAAATGTTCCACTCATACATTCATTCATGCAATAGACATGTATTGAAAGTCTGCTGTGTTCTAGGGACTATTCTAAGTGTTGGAACTACAAAAATGAATCAGATAGTCATGGTTTCTGTCTATGGGGCTTATGTATTAACACAAATCAGAAAATTTTGACCTTTCATTTAAATATTTCTTTTATTAAGTTTTTATTCAAGGTTCTTAAATGTTAGGCTGCTTGTATTTGAATCTATTGTAGATTGTCTGGGTATAGCCCTGGAGATTCTGATCAGGTGGATCTGGGATACAACCAGGAAGAATGTAAAAAAAAAAAAAAGGGGAAAACAAAACCAACAGCCTCTTGAGTAGTTTGATATGCAGCTAGGTTTGAGAGCCAATATTAAAAAAAAATTCTCATTATTTAAAACTAAGCTTGTGGGTGTGTCTGAATCATAAATGGATGGTGGGAACTTAGCACATAGACAAGCACTATAGGATGTCAAATAGGAATTTTCCTTATGCCATGTAACTACTGCTAAGACCCAAACTGAGGACAAAAACTACAATGTGTTCCATATTCTAAATTTATAGAGTCATCAGAAGTTGGAGTCAGCCATCCTTCTCCAGGGCTCTCTGAGATGCCCCTCGTTAGGGAACTGCCTCATCACTTTTCCTGTCTCCCAAGGGAGGTTGGGAGAGGGGAAGCCAACCTCTTGGGGAGTATGTGTACAGATTGTATTCATTCTCTCAAGTCAAGTGTGTAAGAGAGGGGAGCTCAAGCAAATAACTTGAAAAGAAGCAAATAACTTGAAAAGAAAAATAAACAGACATTTTGTTCCCTGGCTGTATGACCTTCTAAAGTAGTAGACTTGCTGATGTGCTTTATTTGCTACTGAAATGTGGGAAATTTGAAGGCCTTCTCCTTCAAAATAGGGGTAAAGTCCTCACATGCCTGCAGACTTGAGAGCTGGTGCAGAGAATGTGAGATTGGAAGCCACAAGTGTCCCAGGACTGGTGCAGTGTGGGGGCCAATGAGGGGCTTACCTGTAGAGAATGCCACCAAGCCTGCATCTGCCAAAGAAGGCAAACAGATCTTTCATCTAAAGGAAATCTTAGAGCCACCTCTGGTCCTCATCGAGCCCAGAGACAATAGGCTAAACCAGTGGTTATAATCAACTGCAGAGAGCATAGCAACAGTCATATGCAGAGATGCTCATGTTTCTTTCTTCTTTTTTCCTTTCTCCCTTCCCCAATCCAAAGGAGTTCATACCCAGAAGAAAGAGGAGGTTGGTGGTGGTGACAGAGAGTCAGAACTCTTTCTTTCACTCAACACCACTTCCCCCACTCCAACAAACTTTTCAAAACTTTTAGTGTAAAACTGAAGATCTAACCTCTTCTGGGTGATGGGACACGTAGAATTGTGATTAAATATAAAATCAAAGTGTTTAAATAGATAGAACTGAGTCTGAAATATCGGAATGAATGTTCTAATAACCACATTTGACTGAAAAGCACAAAATTAGGCAAGATATATTTGGGAGCTTACTATTCACCAGGAAAGTTTGGAGCATTTATTGGGAAAATAAAAACACTATGTGTCTAAGTTGGGTGTGGTGGTGCATGCCTCTAGGCCCAGGAACTCTGAAGGCTGAAGCAGAAGGATGACCTGAGGCCAAGAGTTTGAGGTTTCAGTGTGCTATGATCACTCCTGTGAATAGCTATTACACTTGAGCCTGGGCAACATAGTGAGACCAATAAATAAGTGAATAATCCCCTCAAAATATTGCATGTTCATAATGAGTTGAGATGCCTTAGTAGACTTAAAATATTTTATTTAAAGGTTTAAAAATAATTATATGTGCACATATCACAGAATTCAAAATATATAAAAGGATAAAAGTAAAACATAAGTTTGCTTTTCCAGTCTTCTCCCTCAACCATGCAATTTTTATGTTTCTTTCTGGAAATATCACAGAATTGCTTTATATTAAAGCTTCCAAAACAGTCATCTAGTTCCAAAATTGATATAGTTCTATATCAGTTCTATAGCATTGATGAACATATGCAAGAAATATATGAGTTAGATATATTTCCATATTCTATGGTTATGTTTCTTATCCAAAGTTTCCTTTTCTCTCTGTGTGTTTTTAAAATAATATCAACTTTTATTTTATAGATTCAGAGGGCATGTGTACATGTTTGTTACATAAGCATATTGTGTGGTGCTAAGGTTTGGGTTATGAATGATCCCATCACCCAGGTAGTGAGCATAATACCTAATAGGTAGTATTTCAGTACTTGTCCCCTCCATTGCTCCGCCTTCTAATAGACCCCAGAGTCTACTGTTCCAATCTTTATGTCCTTGTGTACCAGATGTTTAGCTTCCATTTATAAGTGAAAACATATGGTATTTGG